TCAGACGAGATCAACTTTTGCTGATGTTTTTAAGTTCCAAGTATCATGTTTCAGGTTTTAGTTTCAACGAGATCAACTTTTGCTGATGTTTTTAAGTTCCAAGTATCATGTTTCAGGTTTTAGTTTCAACGAGATCAACTTTTGCTGATGTTTTTAAGTTCAAGTATCATGTTTCAGTTTCAATTACGACCTATTTATGTAATAATTTTACATTAAATCCACCAAAAGCAATTACATTACCCAACCAAATATTTTAAATAAATTAAAGTCAACACACAAACAACTCGAGACAATAAGACAAACTAAAATGCAGAATAAAGAAACTGTGATTAAAAGATATAGTATATAAGGGTTCCCTCTATTCAAACAAACGCCTCAACATATATATTATTCAAAAAGAACATGAAATGAGAAGACCAAACACAAAAATTGTATAGAACAAATAGCAAAAATTCCGCGCGTAGCGCGGACAAACCACTAGTGTAATTAAAAAGTATTGAAATGAAAGGAGTACAATGTAAATGGGACTCGGGGAATAACACTTGTGCGAGAGTGTATATACATAGAAAACATGTAACTCTCTCTCTCTCTCTCTTTATCTATACGGCGAGTTCATCTTCAAGATAACTGTATTCAAACGTGAACTCGTGTTTGATCCTTTGAACCCTATACAGAAAAAAAAGAATATCATCTTTAGCGATGTAGAAAAGAAGACGATGATAAAAAAAAAACAAGAATCAAATTATTTACCATCCTCCCTCTTGATTCTCGTCTTTGGGGGTTTGGAAATCAAAGTAAACATAGGCTCCTTGTTCATACTCATCAGTTGCAATCTTTGGCTCCTTATGCCTCTGAAACCATGTGTTGAACTTTCTGTGGTATCTCCATGACTGTTTCTTCAGCTCTTTTGCAGCTAGATACTGCTGATACGAGTTCTATAAACAAATCCAGGAAACACACCAGCAACACTTTAAACACAAAAGCCTGAGGGGAAAAAAGATTGATAAATAAAAGACGGAGGGATGAGTTTTTGGTACCTGCTGATAGTAAAATGCAAAGAACAAAGGCTCGGTTCCATAAGCATCGCTTCCTAAACGTTCCCAGAACAAAGGGTTGCTTACGATTGGCGCTTGTGTTTGGGGAAATGTTTGAGGTGTGATTGCTGGGATCCTCTGTTCAAACACACAGAGAATATCAAACTAAGTGAAGAGGCCAAAAATGAATTCAGAAGAAAGGTGTACCGGAGTATAGGGTTGAGGACGTTCTGAATCTTTGGGTTGAGGAAGTTTATAAAAAGCAGCTTCAAGCATCTGGAGATTGTGCATCCGGAGATTGTGCATCTGATCGTTCACTGGTCCTAAAGCTGAAGGGTCAGCAATAGCTCCTAGTTCAGAGTTACTTCTACGTCCAATGACCCCGTGGCTACTTGAAGGTTGGCCGGGTTGTATGGGTTGTCCAGGAGAGAAATCAGGGCCGTCCCTAGTTACCTGAACTTGATCCAACATGTAGCTGGGCATTCCCGACTGTAGATACGATAAAAAAAGACACAGAGTAGGTAGGATAAGAGGCTAGCCTTATATAGTTGTTTAGTTAAATAGAATACAGCTATTGGTATTAGGTGTCTCCATAATAGACCACATTCCTTAGTGAGTTGCATATGTGAAGTTTAAGCGAAGGAAGGACAAATCAAAACACTCACCAACACCAACAAAGACATAATAGTTTTATTCACTTCTAAATTTTTTTCGGTCAATTCATCTGATGGAAAGCGTATATCAAAGAGATACTAACGACTAATAAATGTTAGCACAGATCGTCATGCTTACCGGATTATTAAATAGACCTTTAGAATCATCCTCATTTGGAATAGTTTTTGAAGCTGCCATGGAAGTTGAATCATCAGGTAAGTTTTGTTGCAGCTGATCGTCATTTCTGGAATGATCTCCATCTGCACAAACATCAACGACATGTCTCTTACTTTTTCGTTTGCATTTTCAAGACTTGAAACCAAAAAAACTGAGTTCCAACAACTAAGTAACTGCCAGGAGGTGTTGAATTCCTTCAACTTCAGAAAGAATGATTATAAATAATAGTATGAATCTTAGATTTTACCATAAATATTAGTTGATATACTCAGAAATAGTGTCTAATGACAATCATACCATATAACACCGAGATATCCTGCAACAATGATATTTACCTGCAACAGATGACTGCTGACCAAATTGCTGAGTCATGGCATTTGACGAGTGATGTAAGGAGGCAGGACTCATGACATTAAACCCTGGTGCCTGTATTCCCGAGCCACCATGAGGAGAGACCACAGAGCTCTAAGAAATAGATTAGAAAAAATAATCTCTTATTATGATGGAATATTTTGGGTATCATAAATCATGTGATTGTTCCACAAAATTTAAAATAATCGTGCTCAAGACCTGGCAAGTACACAACCAACAAAAAAAAAACGCTACCTGCTGTAAAAGCGGATTTTGCTGTTGTGAGGAAAACTGCTTCTCGTTTCCTCCGGATAGAGAAGGCATGCCTAAGAGATTACCATGGCCTTGTTGTACTTGCTGTAACCGCTGTAAGAATTTCTCCCTTTGATCTGGTGCTATTTCAGTTCTTCCACGGACCTAGAAGTGCAAAAGCAGGTAATTCATACACAAAAACAAGACCGTAGAACCTAACCACAAACCATATTATTGTTCAGACTACCAACTTATATAATGCAAAGATCTTACAGATCCTTTGGTATTATACACGAATTCAAAACACGCACCGTTTCATTCTGACTCTGAAAGGGACTCCCAGGCCTCCACTGCGAACCGGAAACAATAGACGGTGAGTAAGCTCTACCGATACTTGCCGCAACATCACCAGGGTTACTATCAGAGACGGTTCCATCATTACCCTTTGCAGCTGGTGGCAATACCATTTTGCTAAGTGGAGAGGTTAAGGGTTGGACATTGCTCTCAACTCCCATTATATTTCTCTTTGCAACTTCAGCTGCTGAAGTAGCACTCATGCGAGCTCCATTAGCTAGACTTGGAGACAGAGGCTGACTTGGTTGGGGCTGTGCAGGGATATTAACTCTACCAATGCCCCTCGGGGGAGCATCAGCAACAGATGAGGGTGGTTTACGGGAAGGCAAGGTTGTTGCGTCTTCTTCCTTGGCAGCCACAGGAGACAAACTTCCCATGCTTTCTGTGGAAGTCGGAACAGGAAGGGAAGTTGATAAGGCAGCTGGTGCATTTGGAACATTACTGACGGGCACATTCAAACTTGGACGTCCCCCAACGGGTGTTGTTGGTGCTGAGTGAAGGGCCCCATTCTTTTGAGGAGGGGTTTTTGGAGGTGTCTCAGAATTGCTATCCGGTAAAGTTGTATCGTCTATCTTCTCTTGAGAAGAGCTCTGATTGTGTGTTGGCAAACTTATGCTCTGAAACAAAGCCGAAAATAAAGAAACATAAACAAAAAGTTCTTCAGACAAAAGAATATAGGAATACTTACCCGAACTTGAGATGCTGATGCTGCCACAGAGCTCTTCATGCTCAGAGGAGTACCCTGAAAAATTGAAGTCGTGTTACTGCTAATAGAAAGCTAAATATCCTATATTTATACATTTCAAAAAATTCCTGAATTTGTGACGGATAAAACATTTCATGTTTCCAGAGAGAGAAAAGGTAAATAGAAAATTTGTAAGAAAAAGTAACCTTGACGAGAGGACCAGCAATAACTAGATCTTCAAGACCCTCCACCTCATCTAGTGGCAACGTGCTATAGAGCTCATCAACATCGCTGAATTCGTCAAAATCATCCTACATATTGAAGGGTTAAACATAATCCAGGAGAAATATCAGCCTACTTAGAAAGTTAAAAACCCAGAGGAAATTATATGAAAACACATTAAGGAAAATATTCCAGGTTCTAGATGACGCAAACCTGATTTCGTTCAACATAATCATCCAGAAAATCTTTGACGTCATTTACTTGTTCCGGACTTAATTCATCATTGTCCAGAAGCCTCAATATCAATTCCAACTTTATTATATGATCCTTGTGTCTTGTTATAGATGTCTCAAGATGTGTCTGAAAAAGAAAACAATCAAATGACAAAATTCACCACTAGGAAGGAACAAGCATTAGCATACTGATGTATATTTTACAGAGCTTACCAATCTGGGCGGCCTTGACTTTCCTTTTTTGACAGATAGTCCTTCCAACTCAGCTTCAAAGCTATCAATCTGCGACTCGAGTTCACTCACCTATCAAAAGCGAGAAAATGAGTACTGAATCAGCTACAGAAATTATTTACGATTGATAATCCGTAAGGACCTCACCACCTAGTTTCCATAACACATCAACCATAATTAGCCTACGGGTCTGACAAACGCCATTAGAATAAACTCGCTTTGACGTTTTGTTAAAGGAAGGGGTTTGAGAATAGCAACTAAGCATGGAGGCGCGAAAGAAACTTACCACATTGTTCAACCAGTCTCTTGTTTCTGACTTTGCTTTCTCTTTTGGATCCTATTTGACATGAAGGAGAGACAATCAGTAGCCTGACTACCAAAAAGAGGTTTAAAGTAACATATAAATCCACCCACAGTAGTTCCAACAGATTTCAAAAATCTAGAAATGTTTTCATGGTAACTCAATAACGTTGTTAGAAGAAAAAAAATGTTCATATCAACAAACACTTAAATACCACATTCATTTTAGATGAAGAATAAATAAATCAAAGGAAACAATCTTACAGTTTTAGGTTGCTGACCCAGTCCCTCCTTAGAGAAGGCTTTTGTCTTTGTCTCTTTCTCACATATTTTAAACCTCTCCATTTCTCGCTCAATGAGCTTCCGAGCGTCAACCAGGGATTGCTCATATGATGCACTGACCTAAATCAAATGACAAACAATCTGCTCAGTTGAGTCTAGAACAAACGGGTTATAAGATTCCTCCAATATAGAACAACACGCCAGGAAGTGACAATAGAGAAAAAGATACTCCTTCAGCTATATGAAACAATCTAGAGGGTAACTAAGACTATGACAGACCAAAAATCCGCCCTAAAGCAATAAAAGTCAGGAGTTTTTTCTTCTGTGTGCTAGGAGGAAAGCGTTAATTATACAAATGATAAGATGATGACCTGATTGAAATCATTACCATGTAACTTTAGATAAAGAGAGAATACTAAAAGGCGTAGAAGATGAAAAAGAAGAAGAGCACTGACTTTTTTATCTTTAATCTCACTAGACTGAATCCAAGTCTTGATCTGGTCCCTATACCGCTGTAGCTTCTTAATCTCCTTCTTCAAATCAGCCTCAAACTTTTCCTTCTGGTTAACATTATCCGTATCATATACCTGAAACACACACACACCAAAAAAAACCCCGGGTTGGTTGGTTTTGTCTTCTGTTCCAAGTTAAAAAAAAACTTTTATTTCTGCGTCGCAAAACAAACACTCTTCTCACATTCCACTGCATAAATCAACAAACATGGAGCTCCACATTGAGTTCCCCTCACAAAAAAAAAAAAATCACACACATAAACTAATGTTACTTAAAAAGACCAATAGATAAAAATAACAAAATCACATCAAAATCATTCCTTTTGATTCTACTCACACACATAAACTAATGTTGCCTTAAAAGACCAATTAATAAATAATAAAATCACATCAAAATCATTCCTTTTTTTTATTTTACTCACACACTGCTTTCAGTAAACTCAATTCTCCTAACACTTGAATTCAAAAGCTATAGATAGATCTTCCTGCATTCTCCATATCATTTCGAAAAATTAAAAACGATAGGAGATGGGAAAGGCTCTCTAACCTTGTTCCAGATACTGTCGAAGACATCGACACCTTCTTGAACCTTCTTCAGCACCCGATCTATCTCGCCTTGGAGCTTACGACTCGCTCCCATTACAGCTCAGCGAGAGAAGGATTAGGGTTTGGTCTGATTTTTGATTGGTGAATTGAGTTTAGGGTTTTCAGTTTCAGAGGGGGAAGGGAGAAGATGACAATGATGGATTGTGATGAATTTTGATTGGATCGTTTTAGGATGATGTAAGCAAAACGAGTTACGAGTTAGTTATTGATTGGCCCAATGTATAAGAAATTTTAAAACGGGCTTTTTATTCTCTTTTTTGCCCCCTCTTGTTTTTGTTTCTTTCTGAATTACACCCCTAGTTTTTGTTATTTTCAATTATTCATTGGAGGAGTCAAACTTTTCCCCAAATGTGAAGAAGTCTCTAGCCATGTGTTCTTGAATAAATTACTGATGATTTAGAAAAGATATTAGAAATTAGTTTTTTATTTAGTTAGATAGATGTACTCAAAATACTCACAAATTTAGTTTTTTTTTTCTTTTAAATGCATTCACAAATTTAGTTTCATGGGATGTTTAATGTCTTAAAAGAAAACAAGCAAAAGTTTAACATCAACCTACACAACAGCATATTTAATGCAAAGTTTTGTATTTTTTCATGTGAATTCAATTTACAGAATTTTAATGCTTAGTTATGTACGAGCAACCACATCAGTTGCATTTTAGTCAAAATCTCTTATTATAAAAACATTAAAATAAATAAATAATAGATAGAGGATAGAAAATTTATCTAAATCGATCTTCAAGAAAGAGATGATTTCACAATTTAATTGAATTTTTTTTATTACATGTTCTTCTTTCATTAGATACATTTAAACTTTGACTTGGAATTTTACTTATGTAGTTAAGATTATCATTAAAACAAATATAAATAGGGTAAAGAAACTCAACACATTAAGCAACTAAAAAACTATCAGGGATGTAACATGAAATTGTCCTCCTTTTCCTCAAAACGATGTCGTATTCACGTCTACTATCGGTGGACTTTTTGTCTTGTCCAAACAACAGAGGAAGAAGCAAAACAGAGCATAAACCCTCACGGCCCTAACTAAAACAGCTTCTCCGGCTCTTCTTCGTCTTCCTGCTAAGGATAATGGCTGACTCAATCCATGAGAATGATATCAGATGCCATCATTGCGCAGGCCCACTTACAAAAAGTTTGGTATTTTTCCGCATCACTCTGTATCACACAGATCTCTATTGCAGATATTAAATAAACTTTATTTGATTTCAGGAAACGAGTGAATGGACTGTAGCTCCCTTTATCAGGGACAGCTTTTCTATGGTAAGTTTTGATTTCTTTTTTTTTTTGAACAAGGTTTTGTTTTGTTTGGCAAACGAGTAAAAAGTTTGGTCCTTTCACGTTTGGGTTTACTTGGATTGGTTAGCTTTGTTTTTTTAATATGATCTCTAGATTGGATCAGCTGTTGGTGGTACTGCAAGTGCATTCATTGGGTTTAACCATGGTATGTTGAGCTTCTCTTGACTTTTATGTCTCGCATGGAGTGTTGTCTGTACTGATATATCTTCCTGTGACTATGTCTTTTCAACTCTTGAAGTTTTGTTCTTTTCTCGTTGATTGTGTCTGCTTGTAATCGAAACCTTCTTCTTTCATGCGTAGTTTTAAAAAAAAAAAAATGGGAGGAGTTAGCCAGCCATTTAAGATTTAATCATAGTTATGTGTTGGTTTGGTTAGTCTTGTAGACTGTAGTGATACTGTGATCGCAGTTAGTTTAGAGCTTCCTCAGAAAGGTCTGCCCCTGTTCATAACAAACAGCGTTCTCTTTTGATTGACGCAGCTATGCCAGTAGTACGCAAATGGATAAAAGGACCCATGTGGTTACATTTTCTTGTTGGGGTAAGTAAATCAACAAACCTGCAACATTCCCTTCTTAATGATCTCCTCCTTTCATCTTACTTTTTTTTAATTTTTTTTTGTTTAATTCTTTTCCTATACTGATGAAACTATTGATTTTTCATTTCCATATCAATGCAGGCACCGCCTGTTATAGTTCTTTCATCGGCTTGTGCTGGTCTAGCAGGTTTAAGCTCTTCTACTCCTCCTCTCCTCCTTCACTGATGTTTATTATCCTGGAGCTTAAAGTTCCTTTTTGATCTTCTGAACATTATATTAAATACATGAAGAATGAAACTAGTCTTTACATTTAATGTTATCTCTGGTTTTTGTGTCAATAATAAGCACCTAAATCTTGAACGCTGCATTTCTCTTTTGGAACAATGTTTGCAGGTGGCACTGTACCAGCACTGGCACAGTTCGCTTCATCTTCATACCAAGCAGCAATCCATTCGTCTCAGCCACCTCAGGCAGAGGAGAATAACAAAATACACAAGTCTACAACATCTCCTCTGTAAAACACACAGCACAGCTTTCTCTATTTTTTGTTCACTTTCTTTCTCCATTTTGTATGTCAAACTTATTCTTTAAGAGGGAGATTCTTTGTGTAAATGCTTTTATTTTGTACAACTCTCTAGTGCTAAAAAAAGCTTAATCTTGCCAAGAGCTTTACTGTTTTGGTATGACGGGTCACATTTGTGTTATTTCAGAAGTTATGGGGTCTCTTAGCAATATTATAATAGTTTTGGCTCTGTTTTGTTATATATCGCTTTACACGAGGGTAATTTCGGATTTCAGATGATATTAGGGCTTCGACCAAAGGCACTATAAATACAAAGCAAGCGGCCAACACTAAGCTTCAAAACTACTTGATCTTATCTGAGCTGAGAAAAAGGGTTTAGAGTTTCCATCTTTTCTGATCTTTCACCGTGTGAGCAACCCTGTATGCTTCTTTTAGAGGGTGTATTGTTGGCGGCTCCGGTGACTGAAAGGTCTCGATGCGTTATATTCTTAATTTTACCCCTTTGTTTTCAGCGATGAAGACTGCTTGCTGCCTGAGCGTTACGACGCTTTGATGGCTTTTGCGAGCTTTAACACCCCTCCCAAATTATGTGTTTTCGAAAAACTTAGGTTTTGATTCTTGTTCTAGGTTTTTTTTATTTTTGAGATTAAAAAATGATTTTTTTTGTTTGTTTTCAAAATTTGCGCTAATGGCTTCTGTTTATAGTTTTCTTTAAGAGAAGCTAAAATTTTGAAGAATCAGCCTTTTTTGTTATAATTGATGTTCTGTATCACTATAGGCAGTAAACATTTTGTTTAACTTGCGATAGATCCGTGTTAGAGACGTAGAAAAAAAAAAACTAATAGATTCTGGTTCATGTTGGATTCCGTTTAGAAGATGAGAAGGTTATATTTTGAACAACAGCTGTGGGCTTATTCTCCCAATCTGTATTTGTTTGGTTGCAAGATCTACTAATTGTCTCTAATTTCACAGGTTCACAGGTTTGCGACTTGTGATCAACGGCTGCTTCAATGGTATTTGAGCAAACATGGCAAGACGTGTTTGAGTTGTTTGGTCACTTTGTCAACGTGGGGACAACGACAGCAGCTTAACGTCTTAGTTAGGATCTCTGTTGTGTCATTGAACCTGGTTCAGATCTCTGGTTCTCTACTTATATGTTTCATTGGAGCATTATGTACTGGAAGTTCATGATTGTAATTAATCTTAGTAAATAAAATGAAAGTTCTTTGATTAAACAGAGTTTAGTAAATCCATAAATGAGATTCTTGATTATGAAGTCAAACACAAGAGAACAGCTCCTATATAATCACTGGAAAACAGAAGGAATCTAGATAAGCTAGGAAGCATCACTAGTCAGAGACAACGAGGTTAGCGTAAACTTATTTTTGTACGCATTTTTAGATCCATCTGCCAAGGCCCATAGACATCATATCGGCCCAATATTTTAGTTTTATGCCTCATTTTGTCAAACCTTATGGGGCCATAAGCACATGGCACAGCTGTTTACTTACTGTCTAACCTGCTGATCTTCACTACAAAGGTGAAAACAAAAGCCACAAAATGAAATGTTTTATCGCCTATAGTCATTGCTTTTTTACAGGAGAACCGTACAAATATATGAAAATGTATGTGATATCATATAACAAATCAGCTGTTACAAAAACTGACAGATTAAAAAATCGGTTATATGTATGTATCATCAGTATAACCGATTTAAAAAAAAACATGTTTCGAAATCGTACGAGGTTTGTATCACGAAAAGGTAGACAAAAGCTATTTTGTGCTGGAAAGTCATTGGCCGGTGCATTCAAGCCTGTGACCAACAAATCTCCTTTTCTAACATATTACGCTTTTTAATTATATTTATGATGGAGTACTAGGTTGTATTATTATTGTGTGATTTGATTTATAGAAAAGGCTACATTAATCTAATCCCTAAAATAGTTGATGTTTTAGTTGAATACACAAGAATTAACATATACACTTTTCTCTAAAAAAAAAATAACATTAGGAATATAAAATAAAATTAATTTAGTCAATCATCAACAAAAAAAATATAATATAACTGGTCACACAGTTTTCAATAAACTTAAAAGCAATATAAAATATCAAAACATCATATATTTTGAAAAATCAAAAACTTTCCAAAACATCATTTATATTGAAACGGAAGAGTATTAATTTTATAAATGAAAACGTTGAATATTATGTAGTTTTTTAGTTTAAAAATTTGGTAGAAATTCACACTTGTGTTTTAGGTGATGACAGAAAATAGAACTGACACAAAATATTAAACTACAATCATCGATCAAGTTCAGTGTTATCATGACAAGAAAAGATTCTCGTTCATTGTATATACGTTCCTGATGACAAATTGATTGTACTTATAGTAAATGGTTTGATGTAAGATAATATTATAAATTGAAAGAAAAAGGAAGAAGAAAGAGACAGGAGAGAAGAGAAGAGGTGATAAAGATCATATCATCTAGAAACCCAAAAAAGGGAAAAGAGAACGGTTAGATTAGCTTTTGCTCCAAGTATCGATCTAAAAGCTTCGCTTTAAATGGAAAGTCCCGTAATTATGCGCACTCGGTCTCGGATAATGCTCACATTCATGCATTTTTTTTTTCTTTCTTTTTTCCCAAAATTACTATAAATTCATAGAGCCGTGCCTGCATAAGGAAATATAAACTTTCCCTTAGGACATATTTTATATAACAAAAACGAGAAATGATTCTATGTTGTGGCAGAAGTATCTTTAGTTTAGTCTGTCTAGAGTTTAGTTGTAAACAATAATAAATTTAGTGTATAGGTTAAGCGAAATAACAAAATAAGTATAGTATAGAGAAAAATGAATAAAATAGACCTAAAAAGTTTTTATCACAAATATAGACCTTAACAATTAAAATAACCAAAATATCACTTAAATATTTTATTAAATATACATTTATACCATTGGTTAACTAATCCTATATTTTTTTGTTTAGAGTTAAGGAGTGAGATTTTGGGGATAGGATTTCGAATTTTAAAAAATTAAAAAACTTAAAATTTCTAAAATAAAAAGTGCTATTTTGGTCATTTTAATTTTTGATGTCTATTTTTGTGATAGAAACTTAAAAGATGGCTATTTGAGAGAATTGCCCCGAGAAAATGACTAGAATAGACCTAAAAAGGTTTTTATCACAAATATATACCTTAACAATTTAAATGACCAAAATAGCACTTAAATATTTTATTAAATAGACATTTATACCATTGGGTTAAATGTTCCTAGATTTTTTTGTTTAGATTTAAGGAGTGGGGTTTTGAGACTAGAGTTTCGAATTTAAAAAAAATTAAAAAAAAACTTAAAATTTTCAAAATAAAAAATGTTATTTTGGTCATTTTAATTTTTTATGTCTATTTTTGTGATAAGAACTTAAAAAATGGCTATTTGAGAGAATTGCCCATAAATATATACTTAAATCATTTTTTCTGATTTAGTTTAAGTCCAAAATTCAACAAAATATTTAATGAGATTAATGTCCTGAATTTGAGGTGGAAGAGACGCACACGCTTATTTCCAAACAAACATAGTACTAGTACTTTGAACCTTGAGGCATCACTTATTTGTGTAGGTTAATTGAGTTTTTAATTATTTTAGTCGCCCATATAATATCTACATACATATGAACGTCTGAAACTTTTTAGAACCTTATGGTAATTAGTGCATCAAATTAAAAAAGATATGAAGAATCTATAAATCAAAGAAACTTAAAATATGTATTAGCATGGCATCAATTATAAAAAAAGTATTAGCATGGTATTAGATAAATGGTTGTTTCTTTGGTGCTTTTCAAATTGGTGCACATTCTATGAAAAAATGTATATCTTTGTCGTCGTTTTATATATTAGATATCAAGAATTCAATTCGAGAATATTATATATTGTACTTTTAAGCCCAAAAAAAACAGATCTACTGCCAAATCTTAAACATAGATCTGCAGCCATACATTATTCTATGTAAAGACAAGCTTTGTGCTTCGGGACCCAAGAAGAAAAATTCCTTCAAAATACTATTTAAATGTATAATGGAAAGAACGAAATATATTTATTTAATTTGCGATAATAACAGGTGTTATCACATCTCACAAGTGCTGAAAAATTATATGAAACGTACGAAAAAATTCCAGTTATTAAAAATTTTAGTAGGAAAACGTAATGTGATTGATGTAATAACCAAGTTCCTTAAGACACAAGACTTAGGGATCTGGAATTGTATTTTCACAAGAAATCCATATCATTAATCACTGTTCTTAGTTGAAATGTTTTTAATATAGTAAATGAATGATATATTAATAGATAGTGTCATAATAATCTAAATTATTGGGCATATGAAAATGCTAATATGCTGCCCAGATTCGGGGAACATCCACATGCTTCATGAGCTGTGTTTCTTTCCTCTCTGTGAGACTTATTCAGACTCCATCAATATGCATTTTTCAATTTTCTTAAATATCGAACTAGAAGATAAAATAAACTAGTACTATATAATTATCAATAAACATTATGTTGATTGTTAAGTAGTGCAAATGGTAATCTGAAAACCATTTATTGACATCTATTAATATTAGTGATGTAACTGTGTTATCATGCATTTTATAAACTGTGAACACATATACTTAACTTCACACAGTTATTTATTTTATCATTTTCTTTTGTATTTTAACTGGAACGTTAATTTACTTGAGTTTGAACTTTGTCTGGCTATATCGAACTGAATTAACAACGCTAGGTTATAGAGAGTAAATCTTTGATAAGCAAAACTGTATAACAAACTGTATATATGAAATTATATGTATAATACAACAGTGTACATTGGAATATATTACCTATGCACTAAAACTCCCAAATAATCACAACCCCTAATTAACCAATCAACTAAATAAGATCAATAAAGCGAACATTATTAGGATAAATCCCTTAGTAAAACCTATATGTTTTTAACTATTAACTACCACAAATATAATCTTTCATCACAATTAAATAATAAAATAATCATAATTATCCCAAACTAAGTAAAATTATTCAGTAGTCCCATAAGATCGTCATAGGACTTGCTACCATTCATCATTCCCATCATACTCATCTCTTGCTTCATTGCCCGACCAGAAGATACCTCTGCGGTCGTGGTCGCGTTCACATCTGAGCTTAGGCAGGTTTCTTGAGATACACTAACAAGAGACTGCTCCATCTTGATCATCTCCATATTGTTGTTGTATGTAGAGCCCGAACCAGAAGCAGAAGCAAAACCCTGGTGGTTAAAGATTGATGGGTAGTTAGAGTTGAAGTGATGTGGTTGGATTGGTGATGAGATGTCGTAGGTGGGTTTGAAGTTTGGTTGGCCCGTGAAACTCGGATCTATGAGAGGTGGTAAAGATGAGAAGTCTAGGAAGTTATCAATGTTCTCTAGAGAATCCGTTCTTGTGAGATCTTCAATGGGCATTCTCGTCATGTGTTGTGTTGTAGTGGAAGGATTGTTCTTGTGAAAAACCCTACACACAACCCACTCGTCCTGTAATCAAGATCACAAACAAACAAATAGATTAGGTTTGGTTATGAGTTTGGATTCAATTAATCTTTTATTTTCTGATGCTTGGAACTCAATCTTGGATGGATATATATATATAAGACTTCATCAAACTTATTGAAAATGACAAAATTTCCACCAAATTTAACAAACTTTTGGTTTAAGAAAACTAATACTAATAATTGAGAATATAAGGATTTTTATTTTTTATTTTTTTGAAACAAATATATATAAGGATTATTATAGTTTTGTATGAACTTACCCTTGCGGTTTTGGGGAGATTGTGATAAGAATATATGCCATCAAGACGATATTCATGCATGACCCAATTAGTTTTTTCACCTCGTGGAGCTCTTCCTCTATAAAACACAAGTGTTTTCTTCATCCCAACGAGACAACCTTTGCCTTTAAAGATCTCCTTGTCCTTCCCGGTCGCTTTCCAATAACCGGACTCGGTCGCACGGTTCGTCCTCATCCCGGTCGGGTACTTCCTGTCCCGTTGACAGAAGAAGTAAAACTCTTTCTCCCCCATCTTTGCCCTCTCTATACACACCAACAAGAAAAAGAAAAAAACAAGAATCAATAAATATAATCTTAACCAAGAAGTCTTTCATTTGTGTTTAAAAACGGCCAAAGAAAATTAAAATCTGTTTAGTTTTGAAGTTTTAAAAATTGGATGCAAACAAGTGTTCAAATATGATTCAAGAATTGTTAATCTTAATCAAGAAGCTAGCCTTATGTGTGATTATGTGTGAACCTACTTGAAAATGGTCAAAGAAGAATTGAATTTTTAGTTTTGGTTTATTGAAAATATTCTTTTTTTTTTTTGAGAAAATATTCTTGGATAAAAACTTACTTGGCAAATCCCAGGGCTCACACTTGTTAAGATCGGCTTCTCCCATGGCCACAGCCGTGAATCGGCTGTCTAAAACCTTTGATTTGAGGTAGGATGATATGATCTCTTCATCTGTTGGATGAAACCTAAAACCAGGTGGTAAATCCACAAGCTCTTCACCTCCATGATTCAACACCACGCCTTCTTCTACCACAACGGCCATGACTATATTAGAGTGTAACAATATATATGAGTATTTGTCTCTCTTTTTAGTTTAAAGATTCAAGAACAAGAGAGCAAGAAAAAGAGATGGATGATTTAGAGAGAGAGAGAGAGAGATAGACACAAGAAGGAGATGAAGAAAGAAAATGATGTTGAGAAAGCTAGCTGGAGAATCTTTTGGGCAGTTAAAGGCAGAGAAATTAAAGTAATTGAAGAGTTGAAATATGGCTTATATAGAGGAAATAGAGGAGCTTTGTAAATAAATAAAGATATAACTATTATTGTTTGTTTCTTCATCTTTTCCTTCTTTTTGGTGATTTTGAAAGATCCGTAGACTCCAAGCAACTTCCTGAATTGTTGAACAAGTTTCACAGAGACAACAATTCGATTATTATATGTTTATATATAATTTGTTAAATTATTAATCTCAGCTATGTTATTTATAGTCTTTCTAATTGAGATTTTTTTCAAACGATTCATACGAATTACCATAAATGAAATTAATAGTTTTTTCGTAATTTTAGGTCTATTATTGCAATGCATGTGGGTCAACTGGTTTTGAAAACAAGAAACTGTGGGAAAGAAAGCTTGTGAAACTTTCTCCAAAAAAAAGAAAGAAAGGAAAAGCTTGTAAAATCAATTGATACCAAACATAAAAACGTGTGGAAAGTAATTCACTAAAACTGGTTATAAGTTGTAACTTTTTATATGTGGACCCGTGACTAAAGTCATGCCTTTAATTAATATGATTAACGTCCTATAGAAGATGGCACTAAAGCAATCTCCTCTTTTGTATTTAGTTAACTACATAGTACAGAGTTATTTATTAATCTTAAAGTTCTATAAAAGCATCCGTAAAAACTATCGTAACAAAAATATAGGAATACATCTGTTTTCGTGTATATAAAAAAGTATGTATAGTTAATTGAATATTATTGACTTGTTTAACATCGCTTCCTCGATTTCAAAAGGCTGTGGCCTTTTTCTCTGGTGTTTGTTTTAACCTTTCTAGTGAAGCCTAAGAAAGACTATATATAATTAATCAATTAGAAGCAGTGTTATTTAATTTTTCAGTTTTAACCTAACCCCAATTCATTCGGAAAATCAAACTTTTACCGTTTTCATAATCATAACATAAATGGTCGACTTCGGGAACTGCATAAAAATTATAATCTATGATATTCCGTTTACATTTAATTATAATAATATTCATGTTTCCAAACAACATTATAATTAATCTTATATCCAAACAATATTATATCTTACGTTTTTCAATTAATTCTCACAATTTTCTTTCAAAATTATTTAGATAAATTAAAAATTAAAATAATATATAAAACAATATTATAATATATATAAGACAACGAAAATAAATTTATTTTTATATGTTTAAATATTACATATCAGTTATCCATTAGTTTCAATCGGTTAACCTCGGGGTTTAGTGATTTTTTAAATATGAATATTTTTAAAATCAAAAATGAATTATCGGATCACCGGTTTACCCGCGATTCGGGTTAAATTAAAAAATAACTTAATTAAATACAAAAACTCTTTTAAATTACCAAAATATTTCTTAAATTATTTATGAAATTTTTCATCATAAAATATTTCGGACTTGCAAAGTTAAGACCAAAAATAAATTTGTATATTATTTTAGAAACTTTGGATAATTAATAATATCATAAGTACTAAACCCTCAACTTATTTTCTTAACATAATCACTTAATTTTAAATTTTATTTTGCACTTTGAACAAACAAACACAATTAGCAGTTTCATTGTACGGTTACATCTACATAATATAATGTTTAACACTATTAATACAAAAAAATGTTTTCATATTATTATTTAAACATGAAGTTGAATTAGACAAATTCGAAACTATATAATATTAAATTATATAGAATATATTCCAAAGGTAAAATCCACACAAGTGAGCGGTTTGTAAATTAAAGATGAAATGCAAACCGGATGATGAATTTTGCTTATTGGTTTTACCCAAAAAATTGTTAATTGATGCGTATAATTGTGAAATATATTTGACTGAAAAACTAAGGAACATGATGTTAATTTTTTTTTTTTAACAAAAACTCAATGTTGTTCGTTTGATGTAAAATATCATCGTAATACATTTAAAACAAACAAAACATCCTTAAAATAATATTCCACATCTAGACCAAAAATAATGTTCAAGTTTGATTTAAAATAAGCAAATAAAATCAAGTGTTGGTTTTTTTTTTGTCTTTTATACGCTGGGACTAACCTTTCTTTTTATTCCAAGTTGGTAAAAAATATCGACTGGTCAAGTCATTAAGTTGTTGACTGAAAAAATCATAAGAGGAACGTCCGTCCAACCACGAAGTTGAGATTTGCATATATATAATTTGCACACACGGTAGAATATAGCATTGTAAATCCAAACGGATCAATGTCAATATAATGGACTACTCTACTCTTGTAGAATTATAATTAGGTCATATATATCGACGTCAGAAAAAAACATATACAGTATTAGGTCATATATATTTATCATCATAATATAAAAAAGCGAGGTTGTGTACTCTACTATGTGTATTAAATATTTCGTCTGACTTTTTGTAATATACCGAGAAGGTGAGAACTACTCCCTACCAATTCAACTAACAATACGAAAATAATAAGTTGTTTAATTAATTAACAAGGTGAATATTAACCTAAATGCGCATACATTTGATTTTCTTGCTGTTTAATTTTTATTTATGTTCTTATATATGCACTCTGTGTTGGATGAGTTTGACCATGGAAGTCTGACTCAGTAATTATGACTTCGTCACAATAATCTGCTGTTTCTTGTATTTGATATAATTTTTATAGCTTTTTATTTTAAATATCTGAAATGTGAGTAATTTCTTTTAATTATGAAAAATCGTACACAAGTCGTTTTCTTATGATTTTTTTGTGGAAAGAAATCGAAACTCAAACCAGAATTTCCTATAAATTTTGAAATAAATCACACCTAATCTCCAACCAGATTAACTGTAAAATAATATAACCGTTACTCTCTAGTATTATATTGCACAGTCTAGACTCTGGAGTTCTAGACAATAGTTAAAGCCATGACTAAATAGTAAATATTAATTATCGATTGTAATTTTGTAATACTGATTTATATTCCATCGTTTTTTTCCGGACTGTCATTTTCTGGATAATATCAGCAGAAAGGCACATATATATTTTTTACTTATGAATTTTGTAATAATCTACACATAGCCAACTCGGATTAGATTGGAAAGTCGTTTTAGTTAGTACGCTGTAACAAACCACCGACTTTTTTTTTGGCAACACATTTCTTATTAAAACTGTCAAGATATTACATACCTTTTGTTTTTGTCTAGCTTCTTTAGCTATTACTCTATTACATCAACGTTAAAGCTCTAGGTAAATAATGAAAAGTAAAACTAAATTGTTTGGCCATTGCCACAATGTCTTGTATCGTAGAGGATGCCTCTGTGTTGCGGACCTTGAAGATACAGATCACCGACTTGATTCCACCATTTTAAAAATTACCAATTTATTCGTATATTTTGCATATTAGCTCATAGCATTATATAGTTAGTCTTAATTGATTTCGTTGATGAGTTCGTTTTATTGACCAGCGAACTTTAGACACGTACCTCTATTTAATATTTATCAGCATTGACATTTGTGATTGATGTAGAAATTAGAATAGTACATCACATATACAAGCACTAACCAGAAAATAAGTTTTTTACAAAGAAAAAACAAAATAATATAAAACATATTTTTTATTAAGTAAACCATTAATAAAAACAAAGTTTATAATCACCATATTACCTTATAATTTGAATTATAAAACAGTTTTATCTTGAAAATGTTAGTAAAGTCCAAACGAATTTTGACAGTATGTATCAGAGTCCAAATCTTTGTTTGTCTTTACCTTAAACTGTCTTAGTTTCCTTTCCCCGTAATTATCTCATTTAAACGCGTTTGTTATCATATGAGAAGCACATATTAAGGAAATTGGATAATAATAACAACTCTTATTGCAAATGGTTTACAATGATATAATGTAGACCGAAAGATATGGAATGAAACCAGGGATTAAAATTAAATAAAATACAGCAATATTCTAGTGGTATTTTTTTTAATTTATACTTGTTGTTTCATTTTCATAATTTATTCGTGTGGACCGTGTATAAGGATGGTTATAAAACGTATGTGGGTGACTGGGTGTAGCTTAAGAAGGTTGACTTTTGCTCCCGAAGACGAGACTGCAAAGCGAAGGAGGCACACCATTGGCTGAGGGATCTTTGACGTCAACTTTTACGTCACCACTCACGCTTCGAAGGATCTTAATGGGCCACGTGGGACCACTATATGCCGTTGAGATAATGAGATGTGCGGCTCGGATGTAGAATTTGAGAAACCGTAAATTATTTTTATTTTTTGTAGTTTACGATTTTTTTTCTTCTGTTTCTCATTTTTATGATTTACATTTTAAAACAATATAAATACATAGAATATGCTAAATATGATTTTAATGTATGTTGCTCGCTGCTCTGCTCGGTTTATAAAGTCACGTGTACTGGTGGAGAACGTAATTACCTAAAATTTTAAATATAAAAATCTACCATATATAGTCTAGTGGTTAGATAAATAGTGTATACTAAACATAATTCGAATATGTCAAAAACACATAATTCGAATATATGTGAAACTATACCGTCAAAGATGTTATTTTATTGTCTCAATAATATGCAAATAGTATAAATATACACACACACACATATATATATATATATATATATATATATATATATATTCTGAACGATGGTATACACATAATATGTGTGAAAAAGTATGCACCTTCCTGCATCAGAAGTTGGTATAATGATGTAGCACATGTAAGTATCAAAAATATGACATAATAATGAAACAATGATGATAAATATGATGTCATTCAACATTTCTCAAAGTCATGGCCACCACCACTAATCCTCAGGCGTGTGTATAGATTTATAATTTAAATGTGAATTGGAAATCTTAGAAGCCAATCTCGCTAGTTTAAAGAAACGTTTATATATGGAGTTGTGGATCAAATTGATGAGGACTTTATTATAAAAATACCCCGATAGTTGAAATAGAATATAGACCTAAACTGTTTGTTTCGTAGTTTGAGACAGACCACAGATGTATGTTGCAACTACAAGAAGTTAGGATCGATGTGAACATTATTGTTGGGAATCTAATTTATATTAGTATAATATAGAAAGCCATATTGAACTAAAAGAAAAAAAAATAAAGCTCTTTAACCAATTTTCGAATTTAGCAGATCATAATATATATATATATATATATATATATTTATATATATATATATATATATCGATCAAGGCAGGTAATTTGTCGATTTAAATTTGGTTTTCATTCACTAGTATAACCATTTGATTGGATAAAACAATATTGAAAAACAAAAGAAAAAAACAAAAGAATAAAGACTGACAAAGTCAAATATATTTAGAGATTACGATAGTTACCATGTAAAAATATTATTATATACTCTCTTTTTTTAACACAAAAAAGTATATAATAAATTTTTTTTTATTATATACTAATTTCATATTTTCATGTGTGTGAATTATTGAAATATTCATTGAAAAGTTTATATGTATATATGTTCAAAAATGATAGTGTAGTTTTATTTTTACATATATTCTGGTAAACATATTAGTGCTAAAAACTAAATTTCTATATACTCTTTTAGTTAAGATTCGAATATTCACAATACATGATATACATTTATACATATTTAATCAACTATGGATCAAATCTACATAGGGGTGACATTGATCATTAGAGTATATGTTTTACTAGTCCCATTTGTATATATTCACTAAACCATTAAAAATGATGCGCAGTCCTACGTCATTTGAAAGAGAGAGACAAAAAAAGATAATCTTCTTAACCGATTATTTAACAGGCAATTGGAGATTGTCTTATCTTATCAACTTGTTATTTGGAAATTTGATTTGTAAAGTTCAAATCCAATTAGCCAACTTTTTAGCTTGTTACAAATTAGATAGACTACGACCACATGTTCCATTGTTCCATCACCACATTCATACGTATCCATATATCAATATTTACATACATACACATTCATACATGTGCACACACAATGACACATACATATATACTAAAACATTTTGGATAATATTGCATGTATTGATTGAGATACAACTCAAATACAGGTCGAAAATAACATCAAATATGATCACATACGCGTGGTATCTATCAGTGGTGGATAAAAATGATTAAATTATGCTTTGGCGAAGTACATATTTACGTGTATTCACTATATTGTAAACACGTATGTACTTAGTTAATTAAACTATGCGTTTATACGTGCAAACAATAGCATAAGATTATGCCTTGGAGATCTTCGTAAGGGTTAACACCTCATAACCCTTTTTTTCTTGTTTCCTGGCAACCATGACACAAATTATATATATATAAATAGTTGTTTCAGTTTAAAGATTAAAATATTTCTATTTCATGAATATTTAATTCAAAGCTAGTAGACTCAAAACTATTTATGTAAAAAGTTTCATGTAATTTGTGATAAATATGTTTATGGGTGTGTGTGTGTATAAAATACGATTTCTAATATAATGTAAAGGTGTTAAAAATATTATGGCATAAATAACATAGTTCGCAAAGTAAATTAATACTTGATTTCATTATTATTATTATTATTATTTTTTGGTCGAAATTTCAATATTATTTAAAACTTGCATGTTTATACTAAAATTTAATTGTCAATTTTGATCATTTTCTCCATCAGCTGAATCAAGGTCTCGCGACTGAAATTAATTTGAAATCAGCTCAAATTAGAAAACGACTTATCCAATCATCGGTGTATTTGCTCCCCCATTACAAGACAACTCTATACATGCATTTTCTAAACGTCACACGCACTCACATATATGCAGATAAACGTATACAATCTAATAACATTAAACATTGCTGCTTCGGAAACCAAATCTTACTACAACAAATGATATATATCCGTGTGTATTGTGTGCAGATACACCGATATATGGTAAACAAAACAAGTAAACAGATAATATTTCCACAGTTAAGGAACAGGTAAATGCATGGGTCATAGACACATAAGTAAGTGTCACATCCGAAAAATGATATAGCTCACCAATCAAAGCATGATACTTATTTATGCGTGTTCTACGAACTTCCCCTTACCAGATAGGTTCAGACTTATTTTCCTATGTTTCAAAAAGCACTCCAGTAATCAACTTATATATCAATATCAATTAAATAATTATCACAAATTAGAATTATGTCTGAACATAAAAACTGAACGATGTCCAATTTTTATAATTTATTTATTAAGTTTCTTTAAAAATTTGTTGACATATTCCCGAGTTTAAGGTCATGGCCAGTGCGCGCAGTTCACCTATTGCATCGCATATATACCTTAAATTCAAGATCAATTATGTCAATCTTTTCTAGTACTTCCATTAATTTATGACGACAAAATTTGTTTTTCTACAGTATAAGATTAATCCGAAAGGTTTTTAGTCTCCATAATCAAACTAGCGAAGAAAAAAAATTAAGATTGATGATCAATTAATCAAGGAGTAGTCTTTTCCATTTTTGAAAGTAAACCACATACGATTCTCCTTTGAAAATAAATGTGTCAGATGTCCTCATTTTTATGGACAAATTAGTATTATTGGGTTTGCTTTATTCTATTTATAAAAATTCAAATGATTCCCCAATAATTCATTGAAAAATGAAACTTAACTTCACCATGAAGTTTGTGACAAAAAAAAAAAAACTTCACCATGAAGCTTAGAAATATTCCCCTTTTCCTAGATGTTGATCAGTCGTGTATTTTTTTTGAATCCCAGCAAAATATGCAGTATCAAATGATCTACCAGGAAACATCATATTAATAATTAGTTCATTTTATGTAAGATTCAAAGGAAGAAAAATGCTGCCAAAAGTAAAAAGTAAAGAGGCGTACAGAAAACAATTGTAAAATTCTCTTTTGTTGTTTTCAAAATCAAATAGAAAATCTATTTTTGTTCAACCAGTAAAAAAGAAAAGAAATCTTTATTTATGAAAAAAACTCTTAAACTTTAGACCATCTCTAATCCATACCTATTTTCTCTTCTATAATTACCACCAAAATAGAGTAATCCTATTCTATAGTGAATCATTGGAGCAAAAATTACTCTAAAATAGAATTACCCTATTTTGATGAAAATTATAAAGGAAAAAATAGATATGAGTTAGAGATGCTCTCAGTTATGGAGCAAATACGCTTTCTGTTGCTCTAAAACTTTTTTAACTCCCTTTCTGAAGCTATGTTCTAAAGAGCCTATGTTCATCATATGAATCGAAATTGAGACTTACGGATATATTAATTAGCCCAAGTGATTTATTTTGCGGAAACCATACATATTTAATTGGGAAATTAGGCTTAATAATAATAAAAAAAAAATTCACTAACTATCAAAATCATTCTTTCTCTCTTTCTTTTTTTTCTTATCTCTTTATACCCTCTCTTTTTTTTTTTTTGTGCAACCTCTCTCTAACTTCTTTTTTTTTGGTTATTTGGCAAATAAGCCCTATCTAATTTAAAGATTGTTTTATTTTCCTCATGATTTTAATCTAATGAATTTGGTGGAGGCGTGGAGCCCTAGCCACATGAGCTACAAGCTTTGGCAATTCATACTCGTTTTGTGCAATCTTTCCTGGTTACTCAATAATACACGGCTTTTTTCAAGCCGATTCGATCATAACGCGTACAGTGAAACTTATTCTTCAACGATAGCTAAATATAGAAAATTAAATTATGAATCTCAAAACTTCCCTTAATTTTTTAGATATTAAAACTAGGTTTTAATCAATTTCTCTCAGTTACCTATTTGATGGTTAGACACTTTATAATGTTTTATACTTTCATATTACAGAAGTTTTTGTTCTATATAGATTCACTACCAAACATAATGTAAATGTTTTCACTAAGCTTTTTTTTTATATTTATATAATAACTTTAGAGAAAAGAGAGATAGAATGATGATTCACCATTTGTTGTGTGCAAGTAATTGCCTACATTTCTAGAGACATGAGTGACAGACGATAATTGGACACCAATCCCCACGTGGATTAACGAAATACCACAATGACACATTAAACAAATCATTCTATCTATGTAAGATTTGGTATTGTTCCATAATTTACTAATTTTGGTCAAATGGATTACATCACTTTCTTTTAAGATATATGATTCAAATATACTGCAAATGCCATAGCAAGATTTTTTTAAAAAAAAATTATCATTGTATCAACTGAAAAGTCACAATCGATTGAGTGCCAAAATGATAGGTAAATTAAAAAAAGTTTATATTCAATAGACTATTGAATTCTAAAAAACTGAAGAAGTAAATTAATGACAAAATGCGGGAAACAGAAAAAGAAGAGAAAATGTTGCAATCTTTTCATAAAAATATAACAATCCCGGGACAATTACGTTCTATAGTTTACAAAATAAATTAATCAAAGATCTGAAAAGGGTAGATAGATATATAAGTGACAAAACCAATTCTCTAATTAAATACGATCAATATATGATAAAAAAATTTGAGATACAGGAAAAAAAATGTTTACGAGAGAATAATGTTCTGTGTAGTTCCAAAAATGCCCGTCACGGTGAGGATACGGCCTCTATGGCGCTACCCAATGGCCACGCAGCTTCCACTGCATGCTCTCCGTATTTCACCTTCTTCACTAATGTTATCGTCTGTGATGGCTCCAATCCTATATATATATCACGCCAAAATAATAAATAAAAAGTTGACAAATGAATAAACACAAGAGAAACTTACAAAAAAACTATAAACATGGATTAGTCGACCGGATCATCATACAATTCTCAGTGTCTAACACTTCTTCACTCTTATATATACTTACTGTATAGTGTGTTATTAGTCATATATATCCTTAACCTACAGATACTTTGTGCAGTATTGTGACCAATGTTGTAAAGGGAAGAAAGTGAGATGATACTTACCGAATCCATTAACGAGCAGAGTATATTGGTAAACGAGATCCATGCACAAGTAAGGCAAATTATCTTCCTCCACACGTGGGAACTTTGATTTTCCCTCTTCCATTTTCATACTACAAGCTTTCTTTGCTGCTTTTTCGAAGTCTATTGGACGAACTGTAGCAACAGGTTGCTTGGGGTCTACGAATCCAGCCTGTGAACATAACCAAATTCATTGTCCCGAGTTTAACAAAGAAAGAAAAGTAGAGGTGTCTTTTTTTGTTGGTTTACCTCAGCAGCACGATCGAAGAAAAAAGAAGCAACGAACATATTCTTTTGGCCACCACCTCTACCACCATTCCATACTCCACCAAATGTGCATTTCATGTGTGTACAGAGTGTATCATTGACTTTGAGTGCGTTGATCGTTAACCTCCGGCACTCATTGAGACTCGCGCCAGATTGCACAGCAGCGGCTTTAAGCTCTTCTCCTCCATACTTGTAATTACCTCCAGTGATACAGTATGTCAAAAAGAATGGAAAACTATGGATTTAATCTGCTAATAGATATTGCATGTACAGAGAGTTCTAGCTAAAAGGATGGCAAATATAAAGGCAATAGGATTTATTGTTTTTATTTCCTCATTGTATGCATAGGATGGTAAATATAAAGGCAATAGGATTTATCGTTTCTACAACGAAATAAACGGATTTCATGATAAAACAATACTCTCTCACCATCATAGCCTGTCACGATACAGGGGTTGTTTGAATCTTCAGAAACTTTCAAAATCTCTGCTCGGGCGGCCAATAATCCGTAATGTAAGTAACTACAAGCAATAAGAGACAAATAGCATCTCACATTAAAGATTTAACAATATAAACAAATTGTGTGGCTGGCATGTAAGGAAGAAGAAAATTGAATAAACATGAAAATCAAGGAAACCATAACACAGCTGACGAACCTGTGAACATAGAGGAAGTACTTCCGTCCCTTCAGATACATTTCTCTGACATAAGAATCCTCTCCTTCTAATGGCTTTGGTGCAGTTGCAGCATCTTCCTCGGATATAGCATATGCCATTTGAACAGAACCCCCTCCAAGATCAACCACTCCAACCGTATCCGAGTATGGTTTTCCCAGGTTCCTTAGCAAGTAGTTTATTGTCACCTGCAAAGTCAAAGCCCATTAAATAGGCTTCAAAATATTACAGTTACCATAGTGGAAACTGAACAGTTCTTACTGAATAATTAAGAAACTAGTGGAAATTGAACTCTTCTTATTGAATAAGAAACTAGAAAGGTCAACAGTCTTCACGATAAGATTAAAGGCATAGACGCAAACAAATACACTGTAAAACACATATGTGTGACAACTTACCCACTGATAAGAACCTTCCTGAGTACCATCCAGCACAGTAACAGCATTTGCCTCAGTTTTCAACATGCTTCTATCTCTCAAGAGCTCCTTAACCTTATAAACAAAATACAAACAAAAAATATAAGAGCTAAGCAAGCAAATGGCAAGAAAAAGTATACAGAAATAAAAACTACCGCTTGCAAAATGTTCTCAGATGCTTTATGACCCAGCGTCCTCAAACCTGCAGTTGCCTACCGAAAAAACCTTTCAGATAACTCACAAAATAAACACCGAAACTACGAGTAGCTACTCTGTTACCATACCCCAACTCTGACAGGTGTCTTAGGACGCAACTCCCGTGGAACAGAAGCTTCTGCTTTATCAAGAAGAGACACCAAAGAGTTCGCCGCTTGTCGTGGATCAGTAGGATATGCACTCAACCCAGGTTTTAGCTGAAATCAAATCAGTTAATAATTTAGAGCCAAATCTCCATCAAGCTGTCTATGTTAATAATTTAGGCCGGATCTGAGATTTTGGAGGCTTGAAACATTTTTTAAGAACTCTAAAAATTTTGGGGGTCTACGTCAATGTTTAGGGGCTTATTCCTATATAAAAAACCTCTTCGGCTGTGTCCAATCATATACCACAAAATCACCATAAGAAACTGAATCAAGCTAACAACACACGAGATCTATCAAGCAATGCTAGTAAATTGATAGTTCTAATGCCATATCCACTACGCATTTCATGAAACAATCTCCAAACAGTTGCTACCTGTAGGAAGAGCTCAAGTTCATTCCCAAGAGGAAGCAGATCCAAATTCCTATCAAAGCAATACACATGAACACGGCTACCAGAGCTTCCAGCATCAAAAATCACAGCGTAGTTCTTCGGAGGCCTCGAGTTCGGCCCCCCCTTGCGGTTAAGCACAGTGTACTCTTCAACAACCGCGTCCGACGTCGATCTCCCAGGCATCAGCAGCAGAACGAGTCCGATCAGCAGAATCGGAATCGAAATCACGAGCAGGATCCCCCGATTGCGTTGGATCTTGTCGGCGATAGACTCGTGCCGTCCGATCCCTCGCTTAGCCGTCGTTGTCATCTTCCCTCCGTCGACGGAGAGGAGTCCCTGATGAGATTCGGAGGAGTTAGAAGGGGAATGGTGAACGGAGGAGGAGACGGTGGCGGTTCCCGACTCCATTAGCTCAGTGGCGGAAGGCGAACGGTAACGGATCTTACCGTTGCCGGTGCCGGAGGACGCCGTGGTCTGCGGCGGATCCTGTAACGGCTCCAGATCGGACGATGGGTTAGTAAGAGCGAATTGATCTGAGAGATAAAGCTTCGATTTCACCTTGTTGAAGCTTCTTCTTCTTCGAGATCTGTATTTGTATTTGAGCGACGGATACAAACAAAAGACGTTATTGGCTTTTACGATTGCGGGAGAGATGGTAACTCCTACACAACTTCGTTAAACTTGAAATTTTTACTGGGCGAGTTAAAATAAGTATCATAAAGTTTTCTTAATTTACATAAAAAACCCTGATCTTTTATTGGATTTTGGAATTTGCTTCATAGTTTATTAAAGGAAGGAAACAACCCTAATTTTTAATTTGATTTTGGTTTTTGCTTCATACTTTACTAAACGAAACAAATAACCCTAGACTTTGATACTTGGACAGTCTAGATATGTGTTCACACTATATAGACAAGTGATCAGTTCATTTAGAGGTTATTATAGCTGTGTTAGCATATAACTAGACAATTAGTACACAACCCTGTTTTTGTAATCGTTTGAAACCCTCACAAGAATCTTGTCTATATTTGCTCGTGGCACTAAGCCGGAACATGAATCAGAAACAACAACAAAATGAATTAAGAGTAGTAAAACTCAGGCCATCTTTATGCACATATCATTCTCATAGTAACTGTACATCATTTTCCTTCTATCTTTATAAACTTTGTACATTTTGAATCGGTATATATGTATCAAAGAGTAACTCTGCAAAAACTATCCTTTATGTATCATTCTAAGACCTGATTTTTGTAACCATTTCATTCTATCTCTGTTGCTTTTTACCTGTACCGTGTACCTTGAGCCACTGTAAAACCGCTCCCGCATTTCTCGCTAGACTCTCTGATGATTCTTGCTTCGTAAGAATTAAAAATGTCGCGTATTCATTCTCCTCTAGATTGACTACTTTCAGTGTATGGCGAGGCTTGACCAGGCTGCACATGTTAAGGACGATCACTACAGCGTTCTCGCAAGACCTTAAGCAATTCCTTCCCCTCAAGATACCGAACAAATGTCTCATAAACTCTCGATTCTCTTCCATTTCCAAAACCCCACGCTCCTGTGTAGTAAGCAATGCCAAGACACCTAAATACTGAGCCGCATATCTTCCTTCTCTGATCTTCCTCATTAGCGCTTGAACCATACCCGCAGATATGGCCTTTTCCATGTAATCCGATTCGTGACAGAGGTGATAAACCACGGAACCGGCTACCAAGGAAGTTACCGGATCACCCGCAAGGATAAGCTGTCCCAAAGCCGTGAATGTTTCTTCACTCCCGATGAGTTCCTTGTTAGAAGCAATAGCTAAGAGTGAAAGTAAAGCTGATGCAGAGTTTCTTCGTGTCTCCATTGTCCCACTTGTCAGAGACGTTGTAAGAATTGAGATCACCTTATCGGTTTGAGCAATTGCTTCTACATTCTCCATAACAATCGAAATGTTGAACAATGCTGTGATGAGATTCTCTTGAAGCTCAGGTTTCGTGCTAACCCTCCCGATGTCCAAATCAGAAAGCGGACGGATTAACATGGTGATCCCTCCAGGGTGAAGAGCAACAAAGCGATCTCGGACATTGGGAAACTTATTGGTCTGGCAGCGTATCTCCTTTGCAGCTTCAAGCTGATCTTCATCTGAGGAGGGAGAAGAGATCCTCTGAAGCAGTGACTCTATTCCATCGTTGGAGAGCTCAGTGACTACTACTACTTCATCAGCTGGTTTTGGACGATCATATCCGTTGGTAAGACACCACTTGGTAATCAACTCATCGAGCAAATGGTTTGGTGTACACAATGAATGAGAGAGGACTTCCTTGCTTTTGGGACATATATTTTCGTTCTTCAGATACTCATAGGTCTGAAACAAAAAGAGCAAAATAAGCAGCACAAACTAGAATCTCGCTATAAATAAGCACAGATTCTATTGAGTTTCTTGGCTAATGTCAAACGCAGCTCTGTATATACGCATAGATAGCATTCATGCTAACATACATCGCAAGCTAAAGTTTCAGATTTAGCAAAATCGAGCAAGAAATCTCGGGTCTTTGAAACTATCTATTCCTCTAGAATATAAGCACAGATTTATCATACACACACAGAGATTATAAACAGTCATTCAGTTTCTTGGCAATGTTAACCCTAACTCTGTGTCTTCTTTCGATGATAATGAATATTTGCTTAAAGAAGGTGCATGTATAAACAGCTAATTCAAACGACTATATAAGCTAGAGTGAGTGTCAGATAATCAAAACCAAGCCCAAAGAAATTACTAAAGAAAGGGAAGAAAACCGTTTACAGGTTTGATCTTGATCGCATTCACGTTTGGTTTAAGCAAAGAGTGAGAGCGGACTTGGTTGCTTTTGGGACATTTATTTTCATGCTTCAGCATCTCTGTGATGTATCTTTTCTCAAAGGTCTGAAACCAAAAAGAAGCAAAATTAGCACAAAAACACCATAAACAGCATTCATCCATGTATATAATAAGCTCACAGATTCTAGATACGTACAATCATTAAGGTTCTTGGCTAATGTCAAAACATAACTCTGTATACACGCATCTACAGCATTCATACTAATATACCGCAAGAATCCCAAAGAAATCTTGTGTCTTTGAATCTCTATAGGTTCTCTGAGCATATAACCACAGATTCAATACACATACATAAATATAAAACAATCATTGAGTTTCTTTCGATGATAATGATACTTTGTGAATGTGTATATACACATTAACAGCATTCAAACGAAAACATAGTAAGCTACAGTCTCAGATTATCAAAATCAATCAAGAATACTCAAAAAGAAATTACTAAAGAGAGGGAATAGATTCATACTTCCCCAGAAGCGATGGTTACAGGTTCGATCATGATCTTGTTCGAGAGTATACATATGAACTCTTTCGGCACTTCCACCTTCGGCGATTGAGAAGAAGACGAAGAAGGGATGTCAGATTCAGGCTTCTTCGATTCGGCTTCTCTCAGACGATTCAGGAGTTTATTCGCATCGTCGATTGCTTTCAAGACTCCGTCACTCTCACCGCCATCTTTGATTTCTCCTCCTCCGTTGGACAGAATCTCCGTCAATAGCTTCTTTAGCTCAGGCTTCAGAGCATCGGCGGTAGTTTTCGTCGCTTCCGCCGTTGATTCTTCCATTGAAACGCGAGAATACACAAAACCCTAGAAACTCGAGAATTGGGGGAAAAAAGAAGTAAGCGGGAAAATTCTGTTATAGAGAAGCCAAGTAACGATCTATTTTATCCGTTAGTTTTTAAGTTTTTTTTTATATAGACTGCCACGTCATTCTCTCGTTCTTCTTCTGATTGGCTTAGAAAAGAAAATAGTTTTCGGATAATTTGTGATTTTACTCCAGCAGAGTGTTCTAGTTCTAAGATACTTAATCAACAGATAAAATGTACAAACCAAAAAATAAACTAAATTAAAGAACTTTTGAGCGACGCCATAGGCGATTTTCTGAAAACCACCACCAAACTCGTTTCTTCATCGGAGTTTTTCGTTGCCGGCGGCTTCGGCCGTCGGAGTCTCTTTGTTTTCTTTATATTTTAGTAATAATAGTTAACAAAACCAATTGATGTTGGATTGGACATCAAGTCATTCGATTTGGGAATACCCAAATTGTGTTTTTTTGCCGTCTCACCATTCAAGATCATCATGTTCTCTTCTTCAGAAAGTCATTAGGATTTGGAAAAGAAGATCTAGTGATTTTCGTCGAACGGTTGGCGTGCGTCTTTTCTCCCCACGGGTGCGTTATTCTCCGGTACTGGGATTCGTAGTCTTACAGAGTTACAGGACTGATGGCTTTCCCTTGCACATATTGCAAGTTTGTTTAATTTCTCAATCTCGATTCGTTCATACAATGAGTCGACATGAAAAGCCGCCCTGGCCTGGGGATTATATGAGATTGGCGCACAAACTAAAATTGGAGTTGAAGATATGGATTCAAGGTATGTCTCTTACGGATATAGCTGGGATAAGAAGATTTGACAATGATGATTTTGTGAGGATGATAGTGTTAGTTTGTGGTGGGCCCATCTGGCAACAAGGATCAATACAAAATCTTGGGAGAAAACCTAGATCATGGAGAGTTAAGATAATAGCAACATATGTTATCTCCTGCAGCGGGAGTGTATGGGACGGATTGCGATGTAACGGATGGATCGCATCCAATGATCTTCTAAAAGAAAAAAGGCTTTTGATCACAATGCATGATAGCCAAGTTCAAGATCATCTAAGACCGAGAACGAAGATGGATAAAGTTAGCGTATCAGCCTATTCTACGGATGAGTTAGATAGCAACGTGTTATTACTTGTCCAATTTCAAAATCTTCTTAAAAGTGTGTTGTTTATTTCTTATGTTTCATGTAAACATTTGAACCCAATTTGATATCAATAAAATAGTTTGTCGTTAAAAAAAAAAAGGATACTTAATCAACAAAATTATAAACGCAAAACGGTGTTCATAAAGTGTTACCTAATGTTTATGAGATTGCATGATATATAACATTATGAGATTACATTTGTGATTTACACTCAATCTCTGGTAAAATCCAATACTTATATAAATTTGATTATATGTTACCAAAGACAAAAATGTGAACTAACTTAAACAGTCATACACATTGTATTGGTCATCAGTGGAGTATATCATTCACATTCCTCGTCAAACAGTCGTTGATCATACACATTCTTTGAAACAGCCTCACTACATTTGAACATCTTGATGCACACCAAAGGCAAGACGTTTTTCTAAAGGGATCGTATACCCTTTTTGCGTTTTCCCATCTGGAGATACAAGGATGGATCTTCCAATCTTGTTGGTCCTTCACACTCACAGGCATAGGCGGAAAATGCATGACTGGAACAGGAGGAGAAGAAGCTTTTGGAACTTTCTTGCGCTTCTTGAACTTTGGTGGATCAAGTGGATCCACAGGCGTCTTCACCATCCTTACGATCCTTGATGAGTTGAACGCTGCAGAAGATTTCTGGAAGAGATTGTAGTTAATGTAGTTCAATTGCTTTGGTGGTGCATTCACAATATTGTAAATGGTAGCTTTTGTTTCTTCTTGCACACGTTTCTCCTCATCTTCATCCTAGTCTCCCTTGTATTGGGAATAAGATCGTTATGTTGAGCAAAGAGAACCTCATGGAAAGTACCACCATCTCCAAACGCACTAACTCAATCGATAAAAAGAAGAGATGGTAGCGGTCAAAGTGTTTGTTGTTTCATGATTGGGACAGTGCACAGCTTAGCATTTGGACGAACACAAGAGAAGTGGTACTTGTTGTCGAAATCTTTTCCAGTAATTAATGTCTGAGTCCGGATACTTGGTCTTCTCCAGAGCATGTGCAATAGTACACAGTTGTAGATGATATCAAATCAGTATATAGTTTAGAGCTAAAATCTCCATCAAGCATAAGTTTTTCCACACACATTTCGTTAAACTCGAAAAAGTGTATCATGATGTTTACTTGATTTACATAAACAATCCTAATGTTTCCTTCTATTTTGGTTTTGACTTCATACTTTTCATTGTTTTCTTTTTCGGGAACGAACTCTGATTATTTTAATTCTTGCAAACAAGTCTTGATGGTGAATCTTTCTTAAACGAACCAAACAGCCCTAGACTCTGATATATATATACTTGGATAGTCTGACAAGTGATCAATTTATAGGGTTATTATTTATAGCTGTTTAGCATGTATTAACTAGATAGACAAGTAATACACATCCCCTGCTTTTGTAATCCTTTAAAGCTCCTTGTCTATATATTTGATAGTGGCACGAACATGAATCAGAAACAACAACAAAAAAGGCAACTAAAAACTCAGGCCATCTCTAGGCACGTTTCATTCTCACAGTAACTGTACAACTTGTTCCTTCTATATTTATAAACTTTCTACATTTTAAATCTGTATATATGTATCAAAGAGCACTTTTGCAAAAACTATCTTTTTATGTATCAACTAAGAACCTGATTTTGGTTATCCGTTCATTCTATCGCTGGAGCAACTCTAAAACCATCTCTGCATTTTTCACTAGACTCTCTGATGATCCTTCCTTCGTGAGCATTGTAAACGTCGCATGTTTATTCTCCTCCTCATTGACTACTCTCAGTCTACCGTGATGCGTGGCCAGGTTGCACATGTTAATGACGATCACTACAGCGTTCTCGCAAGACCTTAAGCAACTCTTTTTCCTCAAGATACCGAACAGATGGTTCATGAACTTTGGACTCTTCTCCATTTCTTTAACACCTGGCTCGTACGTAGTAAGTAACACCAAGACACTTAAGAACTCAGCCGCATATCTTCCTGCTTCGATCTTCCCCATTAGCGCCGGAACCACACCCTCAGCGACCGCCATTTCTCTGAGCCCAAATTCTTGACAGAGCTGATAAACTACGGAATTGGCTACCAAGGAGGCTACCATTTCACCCTCGCCAATAACCTCTCCCAAAGCCCTAAGTGTTGCGCTGTACCCGATGCTAAACTTGTTAGAAGCAATAGCTAAGAGTGACAGTAAAGTCGATGCAGAGTTTCTTCGTGTCTCTATTGTCCCACTTGTCAGAGCCGTTGTAAGCACATCGGCCACCTCATAGTCTTTGGCAATTGCTTCTTTATTCGCCACAGCAATGGAGATGTTGAGCAATGCTGTGATGATATTCTCTTGAAGCTCCGGTCTCATGCCAGCCCAGACGCCCAATTCAGTAAGGGGACTGATCAACGTGGTGATTCCTCCAGGGTGAAGACTGAGAAAGCGATCTCGGACATTGGGAAACTTGTTGGTCTGGTAGCGTAACTCCTTTGCAGCTTGAACCTGATCTTCATATGATGAGGGAGAAGAGATCCTCTGAAGCAACGACTCTATTCCATCTCTTGACAGCTCAGTGACTACTTCATCAGCTGGTTTTTTCCTATCATATCCATTGACTATGCACCACTTGGTAATCAACTCATCCAGCAAATGGTTTGGTGTACACAGAGAGTGAGAGAGGACTTCGTTGCTTTTGGGACATTTAAGTGCATCCTTTAGCGACTCTTTGATAAAGCTTTTCTCATAGGTCTGAAACAAAAAGAGCAAAAACACCATAAATCTTGTGTCTTTCAATATAAACTTGTTAAGAAAACCTCTATTTGTATCTATCTATTCTACTCTTCTATAAGCTCCCTGTATATAAGCACAGATTCTAAAAGACGTACAATCATTGAGCTCCTTGGCAATGTCAAACATAGCTCTGTATACACACATCAACACCATTCATACTAATATATCGCAAGCTACAATCTCATATTAGCAAAATCGAGCAAGAAATCTTGTGTCTTTGAATACTCCTCTAGAATCTCTCAGCATATATAAGCAATGATTCAATACACTTACAAACATAAAACAATCATTGAGTTTCTTGGCAATGTCAACCCTAACTCTGTTCTTCCTTCGATGATAATGTATAAACGCATAAACAGCATTCCAACGAATATATCATAAGCTACATTGAGGACTTCGTTTCTTTTGGGACATTTAGGTTCATGCTTGAGCGACTCTGTGATAAAGCTTTTCTCATAGGTCTGAAACAAAAACACCATAAATCTCTGTAACTATCTGCTCTTCTAGACACGTACAATCATTGAGGTTCTAGGCTAATGTCAAACATAACTCTGTATACACGCAGCTACTGCATTCATATTAATATACCGCAAGCTACAGTTTCAGATTAGCAAAAATCCAGCAAGAATCCGAAGAGATCTTGTATCTTTGAATCTATCTACGATCACTCAGCAGATAACCACAAATTCTAATACAAAACAATCATTTTTTCTTTATCTGTTCTTTATTCGATGACAATGAATCTTTGCTTAAACGCATAAAACATCATCCAAAACGAAAGAATAGTAAGCTACAGTCTCAGATTATCCAAAATCAATCAAGAATACCAAAAGAAATTACTAAAGAGAGGGAAGAAAGTCATACATTCCCAGAAGCGATGACAACAGGCTCGATCATGATCTTGTTCGAGAGTATGCATTTGAACTCCTTCGGCGCCTCCACCTTCAGCGACTGAGAAGAAGAAGGGATATCAGATTCAGGCTTCTTCGATTCAAATTCTCTCAGACGATTCAGGATTCTGAT